GCTGTGGCCCCTTTTCTTCCCCCTGGAGATTGCCCTTGCCCAGAGATCCCTGCTGGGCCCTGTGACTTCTGGCTGGCAGTGGCCACAGGAGGGAGGATAATTTGGAGACAGGCTGAAGTGAGATTCTCTCTCACTTTGCCTAGGGGTTAACCTGGAATCCCTTTCTCTTACCATTTTGTCTTCATGGCTCTTATTGAAACCATCAGAATTTCTATTTCCTGCCTTCTCTCTCCATCCCTCCTCATCACTCCTCTCCATCTTCTACCCATCCTTCCCCATCTCTTTTTCCACCTCTCCTTTTATTGCTCCCCCAGGGGTCTTCCTGAGTCAGCATAGCCCAGGTCTGCACTCTCCTCCTCTCCCTCAGCCCTCAGCATGGTCTTGGTATGTGCTGGAAAGACAGTGACTCTGTGACAGCTGCCATGAAGTTCCTCTGAAGGCTGTGTCACATGTCATTTCAGTTTTTCTTTGTAAGGAAAGTAGAGGTTCTCCAGATCAGAGACCATCTACAATATTCCTCCCTCCCTTCCTCCACCCCATTCTTATGTTCCCCCTTTGCTAAACCTCTGTTGAGCCAAGTCTCTTGGTTTGATCCACTCGTCAAATATTTACTAGCACTTACCAAGTGCTGAGGGGGGGCGATGCAAAGTACCCTGCCCTCAAAGATTTGGTTTCTGCATCCCTCCAAATACTGTGTTCCTGGGAAAAGCATCTCATCAAGCTATTAACAAGTCATTAACACCTTATCATGAATTAATTAGATCCTGGTTGTTAGGTGAGAAACACCCGATGTTGTTGATGGGGATGATGATAGAACAGGAAGGAGGAGAGTTCTAGGCCACCCACAGGAAGGGTGGGCCTAGGTGGGGCTCCTGGGTTACCTGGTTTTTTGCTGGAGGGAAAGGGGAGGGACAGAAGGAAACCTGGGCAGGGCCACAGTTCGCTGAGGTTTCCAAGGCCTTAACTGAGATTTGGGGAGCCTCAGGGCAGAAGGAGACAGAGCCCCTTGCTTTGGGAGCCCTCTTGGGCTGGTGGTCAATGGGATCTACTGTATTTTAGCTTCATTGCCCTTCATGACTTTCCGGGGTTCTCCCAAATGCTAGGTGGCAATGAAATTCTGAGCGATGCTTGGCCAGGCATGGAAATCACTGAACTGCAGTTTAACTCATCTGTGAAACAGTGGATGGGAGTGTGTCTGAGCTACCAGGATCATCTAGTTTGAACAAGGGAAATTTTAAATTACATATTAAATAAATTGTGTTTTGTATGTCTTTTGGTTTCATAGGCAAAATGTTTTATTTGGTTCACACAATTTGTAACTTAGAAATTTTATTTCTACCTCTATGGTGATGATCACTTTGCCACATTTGTTGTGATCCCTTGGCCCCAATAGGGACCCACTTGCATCCCCTCAGTCTTCTGGGGTCTGAGAAGCCTCCAGAAAAGTCTTGAAAAGTGCTGGGCAAGAACATTTAGTCATTTAGTCCATTCAGTAATGGCTGAGTAGAAGAAAAGGGAATGCACAGAAGAGAGGCAAGACCTGAGGACACTAAGTCCACAAAGGCTGCCCAAAGGAAAGGGTTTGAATCCGAGTCCTTTACAGGGAGAAGGTGTGGGTGGACGGGCAGAGAGGAAATGTGAGTATGGCCCAGGCTGGCAAGAGGAAGGGTATTGAGGAAAAGGGCCCTTTGGGCTGAAGTCATCATAAGATTGAAGGTTGACCATGGTGGGGAGGGTCCCTTGGTCCCAAGCAGTACATGGGATGGGGCAAGTGGGAGGGGACCACTGAGGGCTTGTGAGCCAGGCAGAGTCTGAGCCACACGTGTTCGAGGAAGCAGAATCTAACTGCTGTGTGGGTAGGAGCAGTGGGGGTGGGGAGAGGCTGGAGGTGCCGAGAGTGGCAGGTGGTGCTCTAAGGAAATAATTGACTCCAAAATTAGAGAGAATGAGCTGGGCGATTTGGATGACATCAGCTCAGGCCCTGCCAGCCCTCCTCAGCACACAGACCCAGGAAAGGAGCATGCTGTATGTGAACACCCACAAACCCCCTCCTTGTGCCCCCACATCCTCCTGGAGCTGCAGGCAGGCAGGGTGCTCAGCCCCACACCAGCTGGAGAGAGCACAGTCCCTGGGGGACGTGGCCACAATCAGAGCCACTCATCTAGGGGCAGGACAGCTCTTCAGCAGGTTGGCAGCTGGCAAGGCCAAACGTGTGCTCACCCCAGAGGAGCCAGGATATAAGGGACAGAGGAGTGCTGTCCTGCCAGGCACTCAGCTCTGCTCCCATGCTGCAGTGTGGCTGCCAGAGGTGCCCTCCAAAGCAGCCGGCCCCTCGCTCAGCTCTGAGGCTGGAAGCACCTCCTTTGAGCTTTGCTGGCCATCTCCTTCCTCCGTTCTCACTCCAAGCCTCTGGCAAAGTGTATACCCTTAAGGGTTCTGACCACTGGGCCTGCCGCGTGACCAAGGGAAGGTCTCGCAACTCCCTAAACCTCTGTTTTCACATCTCTAAAAAGGGGTATACTAATACCTATTCCACCTACTCCCCAAGGAGGATGGCAGGCAGCTTGTAAATAATGATGATGATGATGATGATGATGATGATGATGATGATAGTAGTAGTAGCTAACACACAGTGTGAGCTCTGCCAGGCGCTGCTCTGAGCACTTCACCTAGATTAGCTCATTTAATTCTCACAACAGCCCTATGAGGCAGGTAGTGTTATTATCCCCATTTTACAGATGAAGATACTGAGGCATAGGAAGTTAAGTAACTTACCCAAGGTCGCACAGTTAGTGAGTAGCTGAACTAGGGTTCAACCCAGGCAGCCTGCCTGCAATGTGTACTATTAGTCTCCACACCATCCTGGCTTCCTCACATACAAATGCCCAGTGCAGGTACCTGTCCAATTCCAGGTGCATATGCTCAACTCTAGCCTCCCACAAGCTCCAGTTCTGATTTCCTGTTGTCCTTCCTACATCTGCACCACAGTGTGGAAAACTGAGTTCACGCTTCCTATCCCACATGAGCTCTGTCATGAGATGCGTGCTCATGGCCATCCTCGCAGGTGCTCTCCGCCCTCAGGAAGTCACCTGTCCTCTTTTGCCCCAGCTCCTCTGTATCTATCACCACTGCCATGGCCCAGGATGCACCCGATCCTCTCTCCCTCTGGAATTCAGGCAGTAGCCTCTTGGGCAGTCCTCCCCTGTCTGTCCATCTGACCCTCATCCTGCAGGTCTATTCTGACTTCTCCCAGCTGACAGATGCCCCAACATGTTGGAGTGCGTGTGTGGATACAAATCTATATTGGTTGGACCTGAACATGGACATGAGCAGAATACCAGTTGTTAAATACTTTCTTTCTTTTTATAAAAATATATTTTATTGATTTTTTACAGAGAGGAAGAGAGAGGGATAGAGAGTTAGAAACAGTGATGAGAGAGAATCATCGATCAACTGCCTCTTGCACACCCCCTACTGGGGATGTGCCCACAACCAAGGTACATGCCCTTGACGGGAATCGAACCTGGGACCTTTCATTTCACAGGCCGACCCTCTATCCATTGAGCTAAACTGGTTTCGCCAATTGTTAAATATTTTCAATATCTTCTATAAACATGAACTGGTGAGACAATGAGCACATGTCTATGCATGTGTATACAGGCTTCTGATGACCATCGACCTGACAATGGGCCCCATCTTAAATTAGCTATTGTTTGCAGACCTCCATATTTCCATTCTTCTCTACTAATGGCAAACAAGCAAGAGCAAATTGTCTTGTTTTCACTATATTCATTTTCAATAATAGTCATGAAGGGATGTGGTGAAACACAGCTGGTGATCAAGTAAGGGAATCAGAGTCATCCATTCATTCAACATCTCTGAGTACATAAGAGCAGGAAAGGTTCTGACTAGTTGGGTCTGTAAGAATATCCTTCCAAATGGTAGAAGGATGGACAAACTGACTTCTTAACATCACTCAATTCAGCCTGGGGGTCCAGAAAGCCTTCCAGGAGAAGGAGTGTCTCAAAGAAGCAATAAATGTCTGGGCAATAAAAGATGTAAATGACAATCCATGTACAGGGACTGTGTGAGCATGAACATCACTCAGCCAGATGACCCCACCCCTAACTGGAAACTTCACTGGAGGTCTCCATAGAACAAGTGAACCAGATACTTACCCTCCTAGACAGTATGGGTACTCCCTCACTTCCCTGGACTGCTCTCCAACCCAAGCTCCCTCACACCTCTGTTTCTTCTAGTCTCTGCCTTGCATGCTGAAGCTTGACCTATGGAACTGAAGTTGGTCACCACTGGGCATGCTTTCCCCTTTTGGATTTCAAAAACATCCCCAAACTGAATCCTAAATCAATAACATGGTCACCACTGTACACTTCTCAGGATCTTAGACCCCAGATGATAAAGAATCTCCCCATTTCTGATGGAAGTAAGCTGCAACCAGGAGAACTGCCCCTCTGCCATCCTCCATGTCCCAGCACAGGACACATTATCTCTCTCCCCCAAGATCATATCCACGTAACATCTGGGTCCTTCACTGTGCATTCAGGCCTGGGCATAGCACTCGGGCCTCACAATTCAGGGGTCAGAAGCGTGTCTGCATTACGGCCCTGGAAGAGGCAATTTCATGGATGCTCATGGATTCCACTAAAGCCTATTTCAAGAAGTGGATCCCATCTACTCTACTACACCCAGCCCCTCTTACTGGGTCACTGGGAATTTGGCCTTTTGTGAAAGGCAGAGCATCAGTACTAGGAAGGACTTTAGGATATCTGGTCCTGGAGTTCATGACCCAGGGAGTCCATTAATGGGCTTTGGATTGGGGGGGGCGGGGAGGAGGAGGCTGTAAACTTCTGAACATGTAGACATAATTCTGTATACTTTCTAAGGGAAAAGGTCCATAGCTTTCATCAAATCTCAAAGGGGTCATGACCCATCAGGTTAAGAACCACTGATTTGCTCTGAGCATAGCAGGTGACTGGCTAGTGGCCAAATTGCAATAGAACCCCCATAACTCCCAGTACACTCACTGTTCTAAAAACCCACAGAGATGACCCAAAAACATCAAAGAGAGGCATTTGGGCAGAAAGCCCACCAGACTCCTGGGATCTTGTCCTTCCCAAGGTTCATTGCATCCTGGGACACACAGAAGAGGACCTCCTTAATACTTGGAAAGCACAATGAAGTCAATGGAGGCAGCAGCTTAGGACCAGAGGCCTTGTGCTTACTAGGCCCCATCCCTGTTGCCCTGAGCGGTGTTGGGGCAACAACTGCATGCATGCTCATAACACTAGACAAATAAGAAAGCTGACTAACAGGCTGAATTCTTCCAGCCAAATCTGAGGAACTTGGAAACTCAATCAACCCCATTACTGACATCAAGAAATCTGAGCCCTCCCACCCCTCGCCAAAACAAGCTCACAACACTCAAACCTACTGCAATGGAGTAATGTAAGTTCTCTCTCCAGGAATCTATGTGTCTACCTTTTTGGTTATTTGATTAAACTCTCCTCTTCCTCCAGGAAGTCTTCCTTGCTTAGCTCATCCATTCTGATCACTTCTCAGCATTGCTGCATGGGACTGCCATTCCCTGATTTGTACAAGTGTGTGGTTTTGCATGTGCGTCTATATCTTCTATCAGCCTGACCTCACCTCCAGAGAAGGCTGTTCTGGTTTGCCTCTAGCCTCCCAGAAGGTTTGTGCACATGTGCTAGGTGGGGTACATTATCATTATGGGGTGGGCAATTTGGAGAGATTGACACACTGGCAGGAGTGCAGCTCTGACATTAATCGAGGGCAATTTATTGAATATACAGCAGACATTCAAGAGCCCTGACTCATACAAAGGAGGAACTGGGTGTTGCCATTCTTAGACATATTTACATCAAAGGCCATAGCTTCTGGGTTGGGAGGTACCATCAGAAACAGATCAAGCTTCCCTCGCCAACTTACAACTCACAACTCATAGCAAGAAGAACTGAGTCAGAAACTACTGTAGGACAGCCCAGAGAGAAGACCAAACACAAATCACAGTCCTTAACAAAAAGAATAATGAATTTGACATTCCCTTTGTTAAACAGGCAGTGTTGTGCCATGGAAATAACACAGATCCTGAGGTCAGCCTGACCTGGCTCATCTCCAGAGCCTGACACTTAGTGAGTAGATGGGGGCAAGTTCTGCAGCCTCTCAGAGAATGAGTCTTCTCATCTGTCCCAAGGATGCTTATTGCATCTTGCAAGAGGGATGAGAATGAAAGGCATGTAGGGAGCTTGGCATGTAGTAGGTTCTTGACATGTGGAAGTAGCTATTACTGATAATAAAGGTAGAGGGTAGGTGGTGGGTGGCAGAAGATCCCCAATTCTCCTTCACTTGGCCCCGTGACTATGGGCACAGCTGCTGTCTGAGACTATACAAATTTTCTCCTAAATAATGAAGTGGTTCTGCAAAGACCTTTCTCACTCCCTCCCCCTCCTCCATCCTATGCCTCTCCTGACTCTCCTCTCTCTGAGAGATGATCAGAGCTAAGACCAGGAAGATAATTCTAGCTAAGACCCCCACCAGTTGAAGGCAGCGAAGAATACAAGAAGTCACAAAGTGTACATAGGACCTGAGGAAACAGGGAGGTAACAGTTCTATTCAGAATTTGACGGTAAGACAAGCCATGATATGATGGCCCAGGGTTCTAGGTCTTAATGTAGAGAGTTGGGGGTGTGGCAATTGTCTTCAGGCAGGGCATGGGCAACGGCATTTCTTCTCTGAGGTGCTGAAGCAAGAGGCCATGTGGCTCATCGAGTGTCTTTCCTGGCTGGGGTACTGACTGGGACGCTCTTGCCTTGAGAGTCCTTGGGGTCTGCCCCTGGTGCCTCTCTGGTCCTGGTCTGCTCGCTCCAGGTGCTGCCAGAGCTTCCCGCCACACTGCTGGCACCAAGGGTGGTACTGGCGGAGGAGCCAAGGTGGTAGCTGCTTGCACTGCTGATGATAGCTGAGGAGGCAGAGACAAGAGTGGGAAAGGAGGGCAGCAGAGTCCATCAGCAACTGAGCCATCCCCCTTAGTCCCACAGCAATCCTCAGCATCAAGAAACACCATAAAGATAAAGAGAGACCCTCTGGTGAGCCCAGTGTGCTCTGAGGTAAGGACCACTCAGGACAGACCCTCCTGGAGAGTCTAGAACCACTGGCTCCAAAGGCCATATTCTCAACTCTTTCTCTCAATGATGATGCCCAGGGGAGAGCTAGAAAGGACATGGGGTGGGCATTACTTCATTCACTATCTCCATAGGACAAAGGGGGACTAGGTTTCCTTTGAAGCCAGAGAAGTTTCACAAGACATTTCCAGAAACTCCCAGGTAGGAGGAAACAGTGAGTGGAGAAGGAAGATCACCTTATCCCCGCCTTTCCATCCAACCAGAATCCCCACCCAACCCATCTCACAGGGATACTCACAGATGCTGACAGAGGATGGATTCTCACCAGACATTCTGAAGGACAGAAAGTTAGAGGAGAAAACCTCAGGGGTATGTCTAGATTCAGCTAAGCCTTAGCGGGTTTCTGCTTTTATGTGTATATTGTTTTAATTCATCCGTATAACAACCCACAAGATGCAGCTCCTAATCCTCATTTGATAGATGAGAAAATAGAGACCTAGGGACAGTAAATGATTTACCAGAACCAAAGAGCTGTAAGTGGCAAAGCTAGCAATTAAACCCAGGCCTCTCTGACCCCACTAGCTCTTTTCACAGCACCACCAACCACCTGTGCTTCATGGCTCACACCTGACCCTCCCTTACAGGAAGCTTCCAAACGGCCCTCAGCCTAGCCAAGAGCCACCCACAGCCCCTTTTCTCCTGGCACCTTTGCCCCCTCACCGGCACTCCTCGCCCTCCAGCAGCTTGCGATAGGTGGCGATCTCCATGTCCAGGGCCAGCTTCAGACTCATGAGCTCCTGGTACTCACGAAGCATCCGGGCCAGCTCCTCCTTGCCCTGGTGCAGGGCAGCCTCCAGCTCGTCAAGCTTGGCCCAGGCATCCTTCAGGGCACTGTCCCCCTTCTGCTCAGCATTGGCAATGGCCATCTCCAGATTGGCACACTGAAGGGCAAAGAACAGGGAGATCATCAGTACACAAAATAATTTTTAGATCTTAAAGGTTTGGTAGCAAAACCTCCTCACTTTTCAGATGAGGCCCAAGTGACAAAAGAGAATAGCTGCAGAGCCAACAACAAAAGCCGGGTCTCCCCTATTTTCTGTCGCAGATGGATATTTAAAGTTGTTGTGAAAAGTTGTCAGAGTGGTTGCCTTTCAGGAATGCAAGCAGAGACTTCGATGTTTGAAAAGTTGTCTAACGCCTGGGGTTGGAGCCACCAATGGCTGTAGGTTCCAAGTGTGCCAGGTCCAGAGAATCGAGCTGAGAGCCAGCCAGGATACCTCTAAGGATACGATAGCCAAGTACCATGCCATTGTGATAGGATTTCTGCTTGTAGGACAGCTCTCATCGGAAACCCTTTCTACCATTTAGCAATAAGAGTACTCTGTGAGGATGGTCTGTCACTCTAGATGATCCCCAGATCTGGCCTGAAATCAGGCCATGGCCCCAGAAACTGGGCTCTGATGGACATCTGGCAGCCCTGTGATGACAGGTGCTAACAAAGGAGGAACACTCCGTGGAGCCTGTGCCTGGTGTGGAAGGAAGTGAGGTGTGGGGAGGAGAGTGGGCTCTGGTCTTTCGGTTTGGCAAGTCTGTCACTATCAGAGTTGACCTGGTTTTCTGTGGAGAATAGCAAATCATTGTTTGTTCTCTGTGGAGAACACAGGAAGGATTTTCCACCCCTTAAAATCATCTTCCCACTGACAGTGCTTAAGGTTTGCTGCTTCCAGGTAAGACAGGATCCCTCTTGTGAAATAGAAATGGCTTTGGCATAGGGTAGGGGACCCGGAGGGCTTCATTTGCTGTCAATCTCACTCAGCCACCAAGGCCTGTCTCACCCCGAGGGGCCCTGATGCACACCCACACATCCCACATGTATTGAGTGCCTAGTGGGAGGAAGAGGCATGGGGGCTGCCCTCAGAGGGTCATACTTGGAGGGGACATGGGCCAGGTTCATTGCACACAGAAAAAATCTGAGAAAGAAGGAAAAAGAAAGAGAAAACATGGATTTTAATCCTGGATCTATTAATAACCAGCTGGGGCCCTGGCTGTCAGCACAGTTGGCTAGAGTTGTCATCCTGATATGACAAAGTTGTAGACTTGATCCCTAGTCAGAGCACATAAAAATCAACCAATGAATGCATAAATAAATAGAATAGCAAATCATTGTTCTCTCTCGCAAAGCAATCAATAAAATAAAATAAAATAAAATAAAATAAAAATAATCAGTTGAGGATCCAGGATAAGTCACTTCTCTCTCCAGCTCAGGAATCAAATGAAATAAACTCAAGGCCCCTCCAAATTCTGAGCAGGTGCCTGCTCTGACTGTGGGTGGGAAGGAGGGACTGTGGATGGCTGAGGGGCTCCTAAGCCCTGGTGGGCCCAGGTTGGGGAGATTTGATTTTTATTGAAGGGTGCGCTCCAATTTCTCCACTGCAGAGGGTCAGACTGACCCTGGTGTTCTCTGTGGGGTTGCTGCCCACCTGCTTCCTCACATTGACAACCTCACAGCGGATCCTCTGCACAAGCCGGTTCAGCTCTGACATCTCGTTCTTGGTCTTCTTAAGGTCATCACCGTGCCGTCCCGCTGCCAGCTGCAGCTCCTGGATCTGGTTTCCCAGAGATAGGAAGTTGGTGATAAGATAGGACTTCTCAACCCATTAAAAGTAGGAGAAGGGTCCCGAGTAAACATTTCCATCCCTGAAACGAGCCAGGAGATGTGACTTCAGAAGGTGATGGAGACAGGACCTGAGCATCCTTCTAGCTGTTTGGTGACGGTTCTGACTGAGAAGTCCACCTGCTTCTCTGAGCAGAACCTGTTTGCTGGGCCTACCCCCCCTTCTCACCACCCTGCATACAGTCTTGGGTTGGATAAAGGAAAGAGGCAGCTCATATTATTTATTAAGCACTTCCAAAATATAAGAAGAGCTCTGACTCTTTCCACTCATTTAATACTTCTATGTAGAGGCATCTTTTAAAGGCTAAGTTCTGTTCAGGTACTGGGGATACAGCTGTAAACAGGATAGAAGAGAGGTCTCTGCCCCCATGAACCATACATTGTCCTACAGCCCTTTCTTGTAGATAGGAAGCCGAGGCAGCACATATGCTTGGGGTGATGTGATTTGGGGCTCAGGATTTGTAGCTCAAATCTTTCCCTTTCCCTTTGGCCAGTTCTTCAGAGAAGAGCAGCTGAAGTGGCTATGGATGGAGACAAGTGAACCTGCATCCTTGCTGTTCTTGGGCTTTAATGACTGTAGAAGGGAGTGCTAAAGCTGATAGGAGTGAGTGCTGAGAGCCCCGGGAAGGCTCTTCTCAGTGACAGCCTCAAAGCATTTTACTCCAAAGCAGAGCTCCTCTTACCTAGAAAGCACCTAGCACTCTCCTTTCTTCTCTTGGCAGCCCTCCTTCACTGAACAGAAAAGAGCTCCCGGCCTTTTTGCTTTCTGCCACCACCACAGTGGTTGACAAGAATGAGCACCTCATGAAAGGCAGCACAAAGAGAGCCAAGAAGAAAGTGGGTGCTCTATTTTCTAAGAAAAATTGGTATGATGTGAAAGCACCAGATATATTCAATATAAGAATATTGGAAAAACACTAGTCACAAGAACTCAAGGAACCAAAATCGCATCTGATGGTGTCAAGGGTCATGTTTTTGAAGTGACACTAGCTGATCTGCAGAATTGTGGAACTGTATTTAGAAAACTAAAGCCATGCAAAGATGCCTCTACATAGAAGTATTTATGCGGATGTTCAGGACAAAAACTGCCTGACCAATTTCCACAGAATGGCTCTTATCCATGACAAAATGTGCTCCCTGGTCAATAAATGTCAGGCCATGACTGAAGTTCATGTTGATGTCAAGACTACCAGTGAGTATTCGCTTCATCTATTCTGTGTTGGTTTTACTAAAAACAACAATCAGATTAGGAAAACCTATTTTTCTCAGGATCAACAGGTCCACCAAATTTGGAAGAAGATGATGGAATTCATGGCCCAGGAGGTGCAAAAGACTAAAAAAAGTGGTCAGTTAATTTGAGATAGCATTGGAAAAGACAGAAAAGACTTGACAATCTATTTATCCATTCCATGATGTCTTTGTTAGAAAGTCAAATTCTGAAGAAGCCCAAGTTTGGATTGTGAAAACTCATGGAGCTTCATGGGGAAGGCAGAGTTCTGGAAAAGCTATTGGGGATGAGCCAGATGTTAAAGTTGATTGAGCTGATAGACATAAGTTCCCCCTCCAAGAATCTACTTAAAATTCAGACTTATAATGTAACAAATAAAAAATCCTATTCATTATTTTTTTTAAAGAAATAAAAGAGTTCTAGGCTTCCTCTTCTTCTCTGCCCACCCCAGTTCACCCATATACACTGTGCCTTATATCTGTTACTCTCCTTCTGCTCCGTGACATGTTCTACCTCCTGGAAATACCTTTGTTTTATAACAAGAACACCTCACTTTTTTTATTCCACCAGAGGATCACCTATCCTCTATTGGATATTCCCATCCATACCATTTTTAAAAATTATCTTTGACAATGGTCTCTGCCAGTTATTCTTTTTGGGTAGAATGTCGCTAAGCCATTGGTAATAACCTTTTTTTTTTTTTTTTTTTTTTTTTTCATTCAGCACATCTCCAAAGGTATTTTTCCCATTCACTGGTGGAGTTGTACCTTCCCAAGAAAGAAGGGGCTGGTGGAAAAGGGAGATTCCCACCCCAGTGCCCACCTTGCTCTGATACAAGGCCTCAGCCTCGGCTTTGCTCTTCAGGGCAATCTTTTCATACTGGGTGCGGACCTCAGCAATGATGCTGTCCAAGTTCAGGTCCCGGTTGTTGTCCATGGACAGGATGATGGAGGTCTCACTGGCGTGAGTCTGGATCTGGGCTATCTCCTAAGTTGGGAAGTGAGGACAGAGTCAGGGTCCCCCAACTTCTCTCCTGTGCTCATCAGTCTCTGGGCCTGCAGCCCTGGCAGAATGGGCTAAGGTGGAGGCAGGAAGAGATCTGTCTGTGGAGCTGAGGGAGAAGGCTCACAGGAGCAGGAAACCCCCTGCCCTCCTGCCCCCCCTCCCACACCCAGGCAACAGGTAGTGAGAGTCATTTCTTGAGTCTGTAAATCATAAATCCTATGATTTACAGACACAAGAAATTATGCTTTAGCAGAACTTCATGGGGTCATTTTTTTCTGCCTGTGAGCAAGGTCACTTTCAAGGCTCAGATGAGATTTTCTCCTGTGTCTATGGGCTCTAGGGACCAGGATTCTACACTGTCATAGTCTCCCAGTGCAGGGTTTTGCACTCTTCCATCAAAACAGCCTTCATGCTGTTTATCCTAAAACCCTCCTATTGGCATCTTCCTGGAAGAGCCAGGTGATATTCTCAGCTGGAGAGAGGTAGGATGGGGAAGAAGAGGAGTGTCCTTACCTCATCATACAGACACTTGAGGAACCTAATGTCTTTTTCCAGAGAGTCCACTTTGGCCTGGAGCTCCACCTTGACCATGTAGGCTGCATCTGCATCCTGCCAAGAGGCACCAAAGCCATTTGTCAATATAACCTCCTTCCCATCAGCTGTCTTGTCCCTGACCAAAGCTATCTGATTTCCTGTATTTTTTCCCACAAAGGAAAGCACATTGATGAATACAATCACTCAATATTGCTTTTCTCTCAGACTCACTGAATCTTTGGGAATAGGGAAAGGAGAATGAGGCCTACTCAATCTCTGCTATACCTGGAGAAAAACAAAAGCCCAGGGAGGTGGAGTGAGTTTCTTCAAGTCACACAGAAAGGCTGAACTGAACCAAAGTTTCCCAGTTCCCAGACCAGAATTGTCTCCTGTTTGACCCTGTCCATTTCCTGGATGCATGCCCTGTTTCTTCAATTTGCTGGAGACCAGAACTATGACTCCATCCCCATTCAGGCACCAGCCTCTCCCCAGGAGGCCTGGGTTGAAGTCCTGAGCAGAGCTGGTTAGAAGGAAAGAGAAGGAGAGAGAAGGAAAGAGAAGGAGAGAGGAGACTCTTCTCTCTCTTACCTTCTTGAGCACCACAAACTCATTCTCAGCTGCTGTGCACCGATTAATCTCCACCTCATACCTGTGGGCCAGGAAAGAAGATAGAAGAAACCTCAGTCCAAATAGCCAAGTAGCCTTGTCTTCCCTCTGATCGAGCAAGTGCTCAGGATATAGAGTCCCCACAAGATCTAAAGGTGAGCAGTGCGGAAGCTGGTGGTGGCAGTGCTATGTCCCTGAATACCTCATCTACATTTCACTTGCTGGAAAACATTCAGGTATGTCAGAAACTGACCATTGTCCCCACTAGTAGAAAGGTGTGGACAAGGAACCTGGAAGGCTGTTTAATCTTGGAAGCTCTGAAAGGTCAGAGTCAACCACTCACTGTATAGTTGAAACAATGGTAGCTGAAGCTACTTCCACCTATCAGTCTTTTATGTAAATCCTTGCTGATTGGTTATTACTGGAATTGCCTGCTTCTATGAGTGGATCCCAAACCTTAATAAAAGGGGTAGCAAAGGCTGGAAGGGGGTAATCCTCCCACTAGAGTTGGGCTCCCACCTGGCCCTCAATATTGCCAAATTAATATTTTCTAGTCTCTTTCATTTGTGTGTGGCCTCCTCCAGAACCCAAACCCTGAACCTGAACCCTGAACCATGCTGGACATGAAAGGGGTTCTCACACAGGTGTCTATTAGGCTCCCCAAACTGGCCACTGAACCAGTCAGAGAATCAATGAGCATAGGAACTTTTCCTATCAACCAGATAGGAAGTTATCAAACAGGGTCTTTCCCCCACAACCAGAGAAGGGGTATGAGCCATGACCCTTCCTTCCTAAAGTGGCTCAAAAAATTGACTGAGCCCAGGAGCTTCTGTGAACATGATCTTTGGTGGTACCTGCTCACCTCTTCTTGTAGTCCTCCACCAGGACCTGCATGCTCTTCAGCTCTGAGTCCAGCCTCACCCTGTCCCCTAACAGCATCTCCAGATGCTTCCGCTGGGTGCTGATGTAACCCTCCAGGATGGGCTCCAGGTTCTTCTGACGATTGCTCAGATCCAGCTGCTGTAACAACTCCCACTTGGTCTCCAGCACCTGGTTCTGCTGTTCCAGGAACCTCACCTACAACCATAATAAATGCTATTATGCCCCATGGACATATACCATTGACTCCCCAGGTTATATAGATTTTTTTCTAAAGTCATTTGACTCAAGTCCTGACTCTACTCATGGAATTCCACATAAACTAGACCCTTTGCGTGTTCATTCCACAACCTTCTGTACAAAATCAGTCACTGAAAAAGGTGAGTCCATAGCTTTCTTCTGTCACCTGAGCCAGCACCCTGGAGCTGCTCTTCCTTGTTTCTTCTGTACCATGAGTCCTTCCTCTGAATAATTCTGAGTCTGTTAACCCCTTTTCTTCTTTAAAGAGCTGGAGGTTCATCTTCCATCCTTTAGAAAATGATCACTTCTTTCTCAAGGTTTCTAAATGGCTACCCTTATCCAATTTCCCACCCTTCTCTGTAAAATACCCAAAGAGGGCAACACATTCATTTATTTCTTTGTGCTACCCAGATTCCAGGCCTATTCTCTGTGTTATGATCAGGGAGTCCTTCTTGAGGCCCACCTGCAACCTTTTAATTTGCAATGTCCTGTCCACCCCCAGGCAGCAGGAACCACTCATATCTTACTCGACTGTCTTATCCTCCTCCTGTGAGACCTACCTTATCAATGAAGGAGGCAAACTTGTTGTTCAGCACCTTGATCTGTTCCCGCTCCTGGGCACGTACTTTCTGGATCTTGGGGTCCAGCTCCACATTGAGGGGTGCCAGGAGGCTCTTGTTGACAGTGACTTGGTGGATGCCACCAGGTAGGCACATGGAAGGGCACACAGGCCCCAGGGCAACACTACTGAACATGCTGCCAGCAAAGCCAGGGGCCCGGCCTCTTCCATACCCAGAGCCAGGGCAGAAGCTGTAACCTCCGGTCTGAACATCACCACCAGCCATGTGGAGGGAACTACACCGATCCCCTCTGAGATTGTAGAGGCTCCGACTTCCGAAGCCGGCCCCAGCTCCTTTGCCAGCTCTGCGGTGAGAAGCCACACTGCCCACAGCCTTCCTCAGCACTACTGCCGAGTACCCACTGAAGCCACCCTTGTCACCATCAGACGTGATGCTCAGTTGCCGACTCATGATGGGAGAGAGGGAGTTGACAGAGTTGGAGAACAGCAGTCACCAACTGATAGAGGGACGCCCACAGCACTGGCTCCTTTTATCCTGTCAAGCCCTGGACACCGGAAAAGGGCGTCTCTCCACCATATCCTTTTCTCCAGCTAAAGGGCCAGGGGCCATGGGCAATTTGTGGAACAGATATAGCCAAGCCCTTTGCTGCAACAAAGCACCTCTGATAGCAAGAGGAATATGCTGCCCTTGCAGACAGGAGGGGTCTAATCAGACATTTATCTGTACTCCTAATTAGGGACCTGGAGAGTTATCCCCTTCACAGATCTCCTACCTTCACTTTTCCAGTGCTGCCTCCCTCTAGCTTATCTATTACCAAGCAGCAGGGGAAATGCCTGGCTTTTTTCCAAGAGGGCTCATCCCAAACCCCCAGAGGCCCCATCTCCCTATAAGCTGGTCTTATTGAGGAGCTGGGATGTCCATGCAGGGGATGAAGAGACTGGAAAAGAATATGGTGGGTCTTCAAGATCTGGACCCAAGAAAGAAATCCCAGGGTCTACTCTCTGGGTCACTCTAAGGACCACAGCTGTCCAGCATTGAACAGAAACCAAGGAAATAGTGGAAATGGCTGTATGGCCTCCAGCAGCGGTGCTGTCTGGGGCTTTCTATCCTGGGCAGGGCCTGGGTAGTGGTGACTTGGATGTTGCCTTTTCAATAGTGAGAACCTTTCCAGGGAACTGGCGGTTCCTGCAGCTGATATTTTTTCTCCTGGGCAGGGTGATCTTTCCGTCCTAGGAGGTCGGGCCATAGAGCAGCCTCAGGAGCTGGGACATTCGCTCTTCTCTCTCTGGGGATAACATCTGCCCTCACACTCCCTAGGGAAACACTCCATGCCCAGTGCCAAGGTACAGAAGACCCTGAGGCTTACTCCTGGGTTCAGGATGGGCTATTCTGCCAGTTTCCTGATCATTTTAGGAAGCCATTCAATCATGGAACAGAAAGGCCAGTCCTTTATAATAAAGTTCAGGTAGTTCTGAGAAAGGGTGGTGGTAAATTAAAAATGCTAAAAATTATTTTAAAAACAGGCACCTGGTAGCTGCCCTAATGCAGGACTCTGACCATTTCTATAACTAAGTTTGGGGAGCCTGGACCCATTTGGATTAGCCAGAAGGTAATACACAACAGCTCTGGCTGCTGGAAGGGAAAGGGGGAGATAGTGAGCTGGGCACCAAGATGCCTATAGGCCTGGCTGCCTCAGAGGGTTTTCCCTTCATCATGTTCTCCTCTCAGCCCAGAGGCAGCGGTGGAAGCTCCTTCTCCAGGGACCCTGCCTTTCAACCTTCCTGGCAGGGCCCAGGATGAGAGAGCATAAGAGGGCATAACTGAAGTTGGGTTTTGTGCTTTTCTAAAAAAAAAGATTGTATGTGAGCCTAATGTTCTGAATATCAACAAACTAGAGTCCCTTGATTGGGAATGACTAACATATGGCTCCAACCCCAAGGAACCCAAAGACCCATGAATAGAATTAAATCTGGGGCCAAAGCTCCAGAATAACAAAACAAAACAAAACAAAAAAATGTATTGCGAACAGGCATTAGAGGTGCACAGGGGAGGGGCTAAATCTAACTGGCATTTTAGGGGTCTCCAGAAGGCCAGTTTCATACCACCAACAGCAACCGCCACAGAAGCTGGCTCAGAGTAGCCACTCCCAGGCAGGGGCGATTGAAGTATGACCTGAAGTAGGAGGAGCCATAGTGGCAGCAATACAATCAGTTGTGGTCATAGTGACAGTCACAACAATAGAAGTCAATGTTTATGTTCACTTTGCACATGCCAAACGTTGTGCCAAGCACTACAAAGGTTTCTAATTTAACTCTTGTTTTACCTACTTCACTTTACAGTTGAAGAAACCGAGGCTTAGAGATATTCAGGAACTTGCTCAAGGTCACTCAGCTAGTAAAGCAGAGCTGGGGCTGGAATTCAGGAGTGTCCGGTTTCACAGTCCCCACTTCTAACCATCATCATCACATAATGTCATAGAGATTAGTCAGAAATGCAAAGTCTTTCTGATATGAGGTAGGAGAGTCAACCACGGGCTTCTGAGTTCTTTGGGCCGTGTTTCTCTAATTCAGAGAGTCACTCAAAATGGGGATGGGCAGGGGAAGGAAAAGAGTCACTTTTCAGCAAGGCTATTTTATTCCAGACCCCTTCTCCAGTCGCCACCTCTGAGGGGCTCCCTATGGGAAATACACATGGTTCTGGTGGGCTGAGTCTCCTGGGCCAAGTCTGCACCTCCCCTGTGGGGCTGAGTGTGAGCTCCATCTGCTAGAAGAGCTGGACCTCTTACCAAAGACCTTCTCAGAAGAACATTTACAAAGCAGGAAAAGTTCAAAGCTAGATCTTCAAATCTAAAGAAGACGTAGGATGGTTACAAAACAGTTTCAGGTGCCTGGGAAAATGCGGGAAATGAACTAAGCCCATCCATGTTCCAAAGTGATGGGCTGGGGAGAGCCAGTACTAGGGCTGGGGTCCTGGCACCTTTCAGTGTGTATTCCACACATACTGCCTCTCTGTGCCAGGTCTTGTTCTAGGCACTGGCAAGTAAGGGCTCAGTGATAGTGGTGGTGGTGATGATGACAGTGGTGATGGTAGTTGTGATGAAGAAGAAAGGAGGCAGAGGAGGGTTTCCAGACAACAGTGTTGTGACTGTGGCTATACACAGCCCCGACCCCACCCCCACCCCTTCCCCCACACACACCAGCTGATTCCTAGGGAATGCAATTGCAGGCGATTTCCTTTCTTTGGCCTACACCAGTAGTTCTCAACCTTTCTATTGCCGCGACCCTTTAATACAGTTCCTCATGTCATGGTGACCCCAAACCATAAAATCATTTTCGTTGCTACTTCATAACTGTAATTTTGCTACTGTTATGAATCATAATGTAAATATCTGTGTTTTCTGATGGTCTTAGGCCACCCCACTAGCGGTTCTCAACCTGTGGGTTTTGACAAGTTGAAAACCACTAGTGGGGTCACCTAAGATCATCAGAAAACACAGATATTTACATTACGATGAAAGGGCATTAGAAAGGTTGAGAACCACTGGCCTACACAGTCAGATCTCTGACAGCCCCAATTTTCACCTTGTTGGTTACCCTTTAATTAGTCATCACACTCCACATCCCAGTCTTTGAATTCATTGGACTAGTGAATGTCCCAAAGCCTGAAGAGATTGGCTTATTCAATGAGTGTAAAATTGAGTGCCTATTGTGTGGAGGGCTCAATGCTGGACACTGAGGGAGGGAGACTTCTAAGGCTTTATCTTTTTCCCCCTAAGAAATGGAAATTGAACTGGAGGAAAAAAAATATAAGCCGATAAGAGTTGTTTTGCTGTTTAATTCCACATGCTTATATTCAATAATGTGCTTAACTGGATGACTTAGATAAGCTGTTATTAAAATCCTGATTTTAAAAAAATCAAAATAAAATACATTGGGCTCTTGGAGGTAGGTTTGAGACCTGGAAGGTGATCCAAACTGGACAAGTGCATTGCATCTGAAAGGCCATGAGCAGCCCAGGTGGACTGAGGGAGAGGTTTGACTTGGGGAGGGGTGGTCAATGGGAGAAAGATGGTGGCTAAGACAGTTTCCTCATCCCTGCAGAGAGTGTAGAATTGTAGGAGGGTCATGTGGGGAAGAAACATCACTGAGCCAGGGCTTTGGGTTAAAGAACAGATTCCATGTTACACAAGCAGAACTGTGAGAGAGACAGAACCTGAAAAAAACCTGAAGGAGCCAAGTCCATTTGCTTCATGATCTCCTGCCTTGAGTTAAGGGAATTCCTGGAGGGTAAAAGTCCCTTTCAGCCGAGCACACTACCCTGGAGGTAAATAGAAAGTAGTGCCATGAATAATCCCAAATGGACACATCCAAAGTCATGTCTTCTTGGCTGGAGAATGGATGCTGATGGTCATTTTTCCCCTAGCTCACTGGTTTTTTGGCTACTCTTAGGCATAGTCTAGGGAACCAGCATTCTGTAGATCAAGGTCATTAATGGAAAGAGTAAGAAGCTTGAAGAGTTTTTGGGCTAACTTTCTGGTGACAAGATTTGGTGATAAACCACAGCACCCTGGAATCTGAAAGGACTTGAAACTGAGTTATCTGATCATTTGAAAATGAGCTCAGTGCAGAAATCTAAAGCTCTCTGCCTGTCTGAACCAGTTTGAAAGGAGCCTGTTTTTCCATCCTCGTCCAAAGTTAGCTTAAACAATAGATTCATCAGCTTTTCTTCCATTCCTTTACCAACTACCTCCCAACACTATACACCTTCCTGGCATGAAATTCTCTGAGTCCTGACTTGTCGAATCCCACATCAAATAGGAGATGCACCAAGCAGTACGGCAGAGCCATCGCTGCAGTCTGTGGCTCTGACCACCTAGCCCAACTTCCCAGGATTGGCAACTTGTCCAGTGCTATGACCTGGGTGGCTGATCACCCTATCACCCTTTCTATTGCAGAGTTCAGATTCCCAGATTCCCCAGGAGTTTGTAGTGGTCATTGAATTTACATCTCTCTTCATCCCTCTAGTCCCTCTTCCCCATGCCCACCCCTACACAGTCATGTTAACGTGAATCCTCCAGATTATTAAGAAAACAGGTAGCTGGACCTCATCCACTTAAATTCAATTTCACTCTCACTCATCAAACACAGGCGCTGTGCTGAGTGAAATCCCAGAGGGTAATCTGATTTCACTAAATCCCCACCAGAGCCACATTAGTGTCAAGACGTTGCACAGTGAGCTCTACTTGTTCAAGCTTATGAGAGGATGCTTAGTGATCTGACACCTAGTGGCGGTTCCCTCAGCACAGCTGGTCCTAGAACTTTCTAGCAGCACTCCTGGGCGTCTCTCCACAAGCACCTCTCTCTGAGTCTAGGGCCTTCCCATCAATTCCTCAGCATTAGCATCCTGGCTCTTGCTTCTGCCTAGCTCAGGAGGGGCATGTCCCGGCCTTCCTGCCTCAAGAGAGACATGTCACAGCAGTTTCACCAAGTGGCTGCAGGGCCCTTGGGCACCTTCATGCTGGTTAGAAAAATGCAGCCCTTAGTCTGAGTGCACAGCTGAATTTCAGGTCCCATTCGCCCCTCATGCTCACAGCCCTCAGGGCCCTGATTGGTTTGCCTGAACCTCAAGGATAGGCTCAAGACATATAGGCAAGTTGGAGGCTGTGGCCAGAATTCTATGCTCTCAAGGGGAGGGCCATCAGAGTCTCC